AAAAAAAAAAGTATTTGTGTCATAAACATTGCTACACATTAGGATGCAGAAAGAGAAAGATAATTTTTGTAAAGTATTTTGTCTTCCTTCGGGTTTCTGTTACTATGAGGAAAAAACATGACCAAAGAACTTGAGAGGAAAGATTTTATTTCAATCACTAATAAAGAAAATGCCCTACAGGCTTGTGTACAGCCTGATCTTATGGAATGTTTTTTTTTTTTTCAATTGAGGCTCCTTCCTCTCTGATGACAATGCCTTCTATCATTGACCTAAAACTCGCCAGTACACACTTATGTCTAGAACAGAAAAAGTGGTCAATAATACACGATAGTCAACATCATGCAGTATAACACAAGAAAAAAAATTGATGAATTTAGGCTCTAGATTTTAATGACAGCCCCATGGCTATGTGATGTGACAAGTGACTTAGTGCCAGGACCAGAGCCATTATAGAATAGTAGATTTACAATTATTGTATGAGCATAGCAGGTAACACACCCCTTGACATTAAGCCTGGTGTGTAGCTAGGTCAAAAATTATTTATATGTATTTAGACATTGTCAGTGTTTTCAAGGAATTTCACAGGCAAGCACAGAGCTGTGTAAATTCACCTACTTGGTGATGATTATTTGCAATCAGAATAATTACTAGAGACACCCCCCCAATTATGTTCACACATGCAGGGAGGCAAAATGGTTCAATTTTTTTTCAATGTGCATGTTCACAATTAAGGTCAAATAAGGCAAAACTCTGCCTTCTTTTTTTTTTCTTTTCTTGTATTGTGTTTCATGCTACCTTCTCTCTCTTTTGAATTTGTGTGGGTTTTGTCGATGGTGTTATTGCTAGTACGCCAACAGACACCAGGATGAAGTGTGCCTGGTGTCTCTGAGCACAAGAAGATTGTGTGTGATGTATCTTTTGAAGAAAACGTGTTAGACAAGTTTTGTTTGTGTGAGCTCTAGTGTTGTCAGAGACAAGTTCAGTATTGAAGAAGCACCCTTATATCAAATAAGATGCCTTTAAACAGGTGGACAAAGGGCCTGGGGATGTAATTTAGTAGTAGAGTGTTTGTCTTGTAAGTGGAGGCCCTAGATTCCATCCCTGAAGTCACAAGAAAACTAACAGGAGTGCCTATAAAACAAGGCTGTATATTGTGGCTAGGAGGTCACAGGAACCTGAACCAGTTTCCTCTGTGATAGATGCTCATGAATTGTTTGAGATCTCGATAGAACACGCACCAATGAGGATCTACTCTAAAGATTTAGAAACAGTGGCATCTCCTGAAGCTGGCCACATCCTGCTGTCTTTTCACAAAACCAACCTGTCATTTAATATCTATGCTGGCAAGTCAGCATAAAGTTGAGTGTAAACTTATTATTGAACAATGTCAGCAACCCCATGATTGTTAGCTATTTATTGCCTTATTTTATGACACATATGAACTTTTCTGAAATTATAGTTAGTAGTGGTTTTTAAATTCAATTGTTAAACATCTAAGGGAGTACTCCATCAGGGAGCTTTTATACTTGCAGGTACAAATGAAGTATGTAACTAGGAGACATTCTGATTTACACTCCATTGTTGTTTAAACATGTGGATTTTCCCTGCATCTTTTTATCTGGCATGTAATAGAAGTCTGTTTGACCTCACTGAACATATTCAAAGTAGTTGTGTATGGCAGACATGATCAAGGATGGGAGTTGATGGATACCTCTAGTCCTTGAGCTAGATTGGTAATAGAACCCATCACCCTTGTCACAGCCAGCTGGTTTTGAGTTAGAAATAACTTCTCTAGATGTCATCTTTGCTTACTCTTTTCTATAGCATTTATGGAACCAATTATAAGATGTTTCCATTAGAAATTGCGAGATGAGAGAAAACTACCTCCTGGGATATCTTCCCACTCACTGGAAAAATGAAAAAAAAAAAAGAACAAATTCTACTTACTTCATGTGAGATGAGTTTGTTCAATCATATTTACTCATTCACTCCTCATTCATTCATTCATTCATTCATTTTCTTCTGTTCGTTGGTCAAACTGACAAGTGGTAACAAATGATAATAATTTAAAGGGAAAAAAATCATCCAGATCTCCATGGAGACAGATCCTGCTGCAGTCTCCATGGCAATATCTAGTTTTAAGGACTCAGATTAATTTTATGCATTTGTAATTTTAATTGTTTTTTCTTTCTTGTCTAAGTCGAAAATTAAAGACCTTGAGGGTTTCACATTCCCCATGCTGCCCCCTCCCTCACAATAAGAAGAAAATGAAAATGACAGAGAAGGAGGGGAAGTCAGATGTAATCCTTGTGGGGACAGGGGAATCTCCTTGTTTTAAAGATTTTTACAAAAGCTAATTTGGGCATAGATAATAAATTAGAAGTAACAGGAAAATGAATTTCTCTCTGACACGCTTAGATGTTGGTACCACTGTTTCTGGAGCAGGAGTAAATGTGTATATACGCAGCCCCTCCCTGAAGATGGAGAGCCATTCCAAAGTACCAGGCCATGTTTGTGTACTTAAATAGAAAACAGAATGCCTGGATTCCTTAATTTAATGCGTAATTCTTTTTGTGTTTAATCAGTGGTTTTTTTTTTTTTTTTGAGTGCTGAACCAGAAGGATTTTAGAGTCTTCACATCATTGAGGGCCAAACTAGAGTCATGTAAAGCTCTACTGGCCAACAGAACCCCCACCCTCACCCCGTGCATCTCCATTACACAAGAGGATAAAAAGACAAAGACCAAGAGCCCCCCTCCCCCAACCATGTGCTGTAGCTTGTATGTCACTGAAATTCATCAGGACAGCCTCTTCTGTCATGCCTGTAACTTTGGCATAGACCCAGTATTTCAAGAGAAAGCTTATTAACCCTTTACTGCAGATTTGAGATCTAGTTCAACAGGATAAAAGTGAAATATGTTGGTCACTTTCCGTGTAAGTGAATTTGGAGGAACACAACACACCAGACATTTGTGACAGTTAATCATCTACTAATGATTAGCTCTAGAATCAGCTATGGAGCATGCTCTAGCTGGGCATGTCTGCCAGGGCTTTTTCAGAGAGGGGAAGGATAGGGTGGGGGAGTGGATGGACCCTGACTTTGAGCCATACCATTCCATAAACTGGATACAGGACTAAATAAAAAGGAAGTGAGCAAAATGCTGGTATTCCTTCCTTTGTCTTCTGATTGTTGCACTATGAATAGCTGTCCCAGCTCTTATTGCCATGCCTTCCCTACCCTGCTGGGACATATCTTTTCATGGTAGATGCCCAAATAGTTGCTTCCTGTTTTACG